AGTGGGGAAGTGAGAAGCAGTCAGGAAGCCGAGCGGGGCGTTGTGGTGAAGAGACAGCTGTCAGGAGGCCGAGAGTAAGCTTACTGTGTCTCCAGTTATGAATGAACTAGAAGTGCTCTACGCGGCTTCTCAGTCATTCATAACAGGGGTTGCAGAAAGAGATTGTGTCCCCAATCTTTTTCCTCAGAGTCCTCAATCTCTTTATATATTGTAAAAGGGAAATATCAGGGGTCTGTTTTTTTTAAACAGTAAAGTAAAAAAAACCTTTTTAAAGTTGGGGAAAAAGTCATTTTCGGTTTCGGCCTGACATTTTTTTAATTTCGCTTTCGATCTAAAAATTCAATTTTGGTGCATTCCTACTTTTAAATAGTACATTTTGGCAGACCAAAGTGAGCAAATTAGAGACACTCGATGATGATGGGGGGGGGGTTTATACTTGTCTTATTTTTTCAGAGTATTGTGTAATAACCAGAACCTCAGAAGGTTTCTGAGGATTTCCATCCAACAGACCTTTCTTTCCAGCGATCTTCTCATAATCTGACAGCCCTGTAAACATGAAACCATACAGCATTGGAATTTTCTTCTTCCTGTAATAAAATACTCTATCAGACATATTTAGCAAAAACAGGATACTTAAGAGAACTATGGGGTAAGTGTTTCCCCCCCATAGTTCTCTTAAGGGTCACGGGAGGACATATACTAGCGTCCTCCTGTGACCTGAAGATCAGTATATCGCAAGCTACAGCTCGCGGTCAACCGAGACTTCCGCAGCCGGGATGGATCCCGACATTACTGTCGCGATCCACCCAGCTGCGTGAGTGACAGCTGGCTCTGCCTATCTAGAGCAAGCTGTGCCTGCCCCTCCCCACTCATCGCTGGAGGAGGGGGGATCCCTGTGGAAGCCGTGAGTGACAGTCACCGCTCTCTGCAGGGAGATGATCAAGAAGTGAGCGAGTGATGTTATGTGTTCGCTCACTTCCCGATCTATTGAGCCGATGTGTGACAGTTTCACACGTTGGCTTGAACTGTGAGGATGAGTGATTTTCACTCGCCTCACGGTTCTCCTTTTTTAAGTAATGCATATTTTTTTTAGCTCTACTTGGAAGTGTAGAAAGAAATCCCTGGACCCTTGTGGTTATTCTGTTGGTGTTTGTCATCCAGTATTAATTGTGTGATCTGGCTAATGGGGAGACCGCTTCCACATTCCAAAGGATATCCTTGCCTTGTCAGTGAACACAGTAAATGTGGGAAATAAGCAGCATGCCAATTAAAGTCCTGATACTTATTCCATTAGGGTCAGGAGACATTCAAGTAGAGGTCAATGTGTTTCACACCCCCTTTATCAGGGATTACTGAGAAACGTGAATGTGGACTACAGTCCCTGCAGTTTAGAAGTTGTGATAGGAGTACTTCAGGCTAGTCAGCAGCTGGTTTGGCAGAAAAAAAAAGTTGGAATAAAGTTGTATCCAGACTTGTCAGAGACCATAATAACAAATTGTATAATTTGTTAGTGTTTAAACTGAAATTGTAGTCTCTTAAATTGAGTTCCTATTTTCAATATGTTGTGTTACATTCAATTCATTCCAATACAACACATCTGTAACACCAGAGAACTGGATTTTGTTATCCATCAATAGATTCAAGAGAATGTTCAGCTGAAGTTTTACTGACCCTATTGGTAATGGAAACCTACAATTCTAATATAGTTGAACCCCAGTGAAAACATTTCTTGCATTTACAGGGATCATATACTGTCATATTTATATATTTATCCTACCATTGGAAAGATTTCCCCTTCAAGCCACAGATGTCATTAAAGCAGGAAGTCAGGGGAAATATCTGCAACAGAGATACAGATGGCAATAAAAAAAAATCTGTTCGGTTTTGATAAGCCGAGAGAAGGACAGTAGAAATACTGGTAAATGCAAATCGGAGCAAAGGTGATGTATATATTCATGCAGGGCAAAGTGCAATGGCTGTATATTTAATTACAGTCACATGACTTAGCCTAACTCCATACAGATATACAAGATTTCAAGAGAATTTGCCATCCATATAAAAAAGAAAACTGCTGCTTGTGTGAACAGTCATGTGAAAAAGTAAGTACACCCCTTTGACATTTCAACATATTTGATCCTTATTTAAACAATTCCTTTAGATAAAGATTTGAGCCATTCCTTGGTGGATTTGCAGTGTTCTTGGGAGCGTTATGTTGAAAGATTCATTTCCAGTTTAACTTTAAGACAGGGGGCCTCATAATTCTCTTGAAACACACTAGGGCTGCATCTAATGATTTTCATAATCGACTAGTTGGTCGACCTTTATTTTTTTTCAATTAATCGAATAAAAAAAAAATTAAATACCATCCTTTAATTTAAAATAAAATGCACAAATACACAGTTTTTCTTCACAATAAAACTGCATGCACAATTTTGTTTGCAATCTCACTGCACTGGAATGCATTGTGGTACCGTGCGTTCCACTGCGGGCGATCACACTGGTTGGAAGGCGCTTTTGGGATGGCACTTCAACGTACCTTTTCATAAATGTTGTTTATGCACCGTAAAAGTTTTTTTAGGGTTTTTCAGAGATCTTTCTGAGGGTCTTGGAGAGCGCTTGGCATGATGACATCACACATGCCAGTGGCAAAGAATCCCTAAGGAAGTTCTTATTTAGATTGTGAATAAATGCACCATGTACATTTTCAGTATTTATCACCTTTCATCTAAAGGCAATGTTTGAATGAAGAACTGGGCTGTTCTGACCAGCAAATTTCCAGCATCTTCTGATGGTGCCAAAGTTTGCCTGCTCCCTCCTGTCTCCTGCGCATTCCTATTGAGGCTGCCCATCATGGTGATTGTGGACAACAATATTGCAGAGCCGGTCTTGGTTGCAAGCCTCTGACTACCTTAAAGGCTTAACATTTTTTTTTTAATAGCAGAATTTAGGCTTTCATAATGAAATCAAGCTTTTGGGTTGCTCCTTTTGTGCCTCAGCCTGACTACAGTAAACCTGCTTTTCCTCTGGGATGCATTTCTTTCTGTAGCATCCATGTGACTTATGTACACTTCAGAGGAAATAAATGTCCCATTATGCGAGAGGTGGGCAGGAGCAGTGCTTGGGCTCAGTGGCTGACCTCAGCACGCACAATAGGCAGAGGTCTTGTAAACTCTGCCAACAGTGCGCTTGTCCTGTGATGGGCCTGGTCCTGCACTGAGAGGTGGCTTTAGTATTCTAGAAAAAGATGCATTTAATTTGTTTACTAGGCACATGATGACCCTGATATGTGGGGCTTAGGAAGGTGAACTAAGGCTTTAACTCTGCTTGTCAGAACCAACTGGGACCATGGCAGGAGGGTTTTGGAAGCAGCTACAGGTATATGCAGGCAGAAACACAGATCACACTCTAAATGCCTGCACTTTATACCTGAAGCATTTTCTTTCTATCTCTTTTATATTGGCTTCTGCACCCCTTGTAAAGCAAGGCACAGGCTGGGGCAGGAGTGGCAGGACTTTGAGTCAATTTACGTAAGAGCTTTTTACAGGGCAGAGTGACTGTCTCATTAATGTTGTCTTGTTCCATCATTGTACAATCAGCAGGCAGGATGTTAAAGAGGAATTTTACCCTTATCTTTAAAATAACAAACACACCTTTTAGAAATGCCTAGTAATGACAATCTACAAACACATACATATAGATAATTGCAGGCTTTGTATTCTTTGCATATCTTGTTTTTATTTTCTTTCCCAGTCTTCTGGCACTGGCTGTTTTTGCTAAAGGCAAATTATTAGATTTACCTTTTGCTTCCTGCATTTCTGGCACATGTGACCATGCACATCATCTCAGGGGAGGAAAATGCTTTTCCCTGAGACCTCATGAGATTACAGATGAGATTTCCCAGCAATGCTTTGCTGATGTAACCTTCCCAGGATCCAACGCTTTGGCACATTACATCACTTGTGCCAGAACGGGACCAGGAAGTAGAGGAATGCTATTTTTGTAAGTAAATGAACAATTATTTTTTTTAAACGAATGTAAGATGCTTTTAAATCGGTATGCAGAGCTGCATGATGTGATTTTTTTTTTTTTGTAGTGAAAGGGGGTAAAGGTCAACTTGAATTGGTGACTGGGTTGGTTGCATTGCTTACCTGACCTAAACAAAAGTGAAGTCACCAGCTTGGCTGTCTGGCAAGGCTGTGTAACCTTAGCGCAGGCTGGACAGGTCTATAAACAGGTAAAGTGTCTCTCATATATGTAGTCACATTATTTAGCCGTCAACTTAGTGTTTCGTTTAACTGACCAGACAATGTTGTCTGATAGCTGTCAAGATTTGCACTTTGCTTACTGAATATGCCTAATGGTGTGAAGAAAATGAAAGGGATCTTCTTTTTTATGAAGGGCTTGGCTTGTGTACAGCTTAAAACATGATTCAGAATATAAAGGGGTAACATCTATATATGGCTTATATTGTCCTATTTGATATCCTAAAGTAATTTTTTTTTGTTTTGAGCAGGATGAACAATAAATTGTTTTTGCTCTACAGCTTTCAAATAGACTGTTTATTATGAATTCTAGATGTTTATGCAATGGAAGGAAAGCTTCAGGTTCAAGCCATCAAAGATTTGCTATTAGCAGCATATAGGCATGGACTGAATTGTAATATTGATCTGTTGACTATCTGTGTATGCAGCAGACACACCCAGCTAAATGTTGGAATGGCTTTCTGCATTGATACAGGTGGAATCCTTTGGAGCAGCAATCTCTCTGGCAAGCACTGCTTTAGAAGATAAAAAGCAGATGTGGATTAAAAGCAATCCATAGTTATAACAGCAAGTTTGTCTTGTATGTCGGCTATCGGCAATTATCATGAGCTTAATAGGGAAAACATAGTGAATTTTTCTGAAAAGGAATGTGCTGCATCATTCTTCTGTGTATTGAGGTAAACTTAGTGCACACCTTGGTCCTCCTGATACTGACACGCCATCTGCTTTATTTTCCAGCCACAACATGCCTAACTGGGGAGGTGGAAACAAGTGCGGTGCATGTGGAAGGACGGTTTACCATGCCGAAGAGGTGCAGTGTGATGGAAAGAGCTTTCATAAGTGCTGCTTCCTTTGCAGTAAGTTTAAAAATCATTTCAACTTGATCACCTACAATAAAAGGACAACCTTCACTGCTTATTTAGTGTCCATTTAACTCCTTTATGGTAACCATTTTCTGCAAATCTTTTTAAGAGTACAGTAAAATATGTCCAAGAAGAAGTTTGTAGCATAACTTAACACACTAGGGCCAGTATGGGTGTACCTACCAGTAGCACTCGAAGGGAACCCATACAAACCTACGTCCTTTGTGGGGGATGAATCCGAGACTTAGAGCTATGAGATAAAAGTGCTATATCACGGTATCAAAAGCTAAATTACACACACGCACTGTATTTCCACTTTTGCAGTCAAATGTGGATAACAGCTATTTTATATTTGTTACATCTGAGTATTCTCATAGCATAACTTAAAAATAGAAATGACTGCTTATGATTTTTTTTTTTGTGTGTGACTCAATTCTGAAAGGAGGTTTTTCTCTAAAATGGCATTATCCTCTGGAATGCAAGGGGGTGGAGGGGGGCTGTGGGAAGTTAGTAATTAACCCTGTCTGTATTATGCTGGCAGATCTCATTGTAAACTACGTTTGAACACAGTCTGTCCTTACAAAGGTTTAGAGACCTTAAAAGTATGGTATGTTATAGGAGAACTATGGGGTTAGGGCTTTTCCCCATAGTTCTCCTTAGGCTAACGGGAGGACACAAACTAGCGTCGTCCCGTCACCCTCAGATCAGCATACCGCGAGCTACAGCTCGCGGTATACTGAGACGCCAGAGCGGATCCCGACATCGATGTCGAGATCCGCCCAGCTGCGTGAGTGACGGCTGGCTTTGCCTATCTAGAGGCAGAGCCAGCTGTACCCGCCTCCTCCCCAGTCCGTTCTGCCAGTCAGCGCTAGCGGATTGGGGAGGGGGGAATCCATCCCCTCCCCTGTCACGGCAGAGAGCTGTGACAGGATCGAGAAGTGAGCGAAGACCGGCATGTGTTAGCTCACCTCCCGATCTACTGAGCTGACCTGTGACAGTCTCATTGTCACAGGTCGGCTAAAACTATGAGGTGAGTGAAAAGCACTCACCTCATAGTTCTCCTTTTTATTGATGGGAATATCTGTCTGTCCCTAGTCGTTCTATTGGGACAGCCAGAGTTTCCTGTTACTTTGAAACTATACATAGAAGCTCCAAATGTCTGCTACACAAACACTTCGACAAGGTAACAAAAATATTTTGTAAAACATTTTTATATATACTGGAACACATAAACCTATAGAGGGGTTTTCTCAAAATTGACTGCAAAAGTAGAAATCCACTTTAAAAGCACTGTTGGGTATCAAAGCTAAGACTCTCCTTAGAGCCACACATGGTCATATAACCTGCTAGAATGAATAAAAGGATTTTGTTTTGACGAAAACTTGAGTGCTGGTGACCATTCTGTTTTGCAAGTGTCTGGTGGCGCCATCCGTGGCCACTTCAGCACCTGACCCACAATATATGGGGCTTCTCAGTCAGGAGTGCGGTGGGACTCCCTATTTGAAAGCTATGACTGGTACCCCTCGCTGTATGGCACCATCTGAGATCTCATTGAGAGACAGTGTCTGAATGGAGATTGTTACTACTGTGATCTCTTTACAAATCTCAGTGCTCCGAAAATCCTTTGCCATAGTCGAAATGTGTATTAAATGTTTTTTTTTTCTTTTGGAGCAAATTGTGCTGTCTGTCGCTTAATCGGGCCACGTCTGATTTTTTGCAGCCTTATCACAGCCCGATAGAGCACCAGAAAGAGGTATTGCCACAATGCTCACCATACACTTGTGTAAGCCCTACCATAAGGCCCCTTTGTACAAAAGTCTGGCCTGTTAAGCTAAAAATGTCCCACTGAAGGTGAAGCTTTTCCTTTTAAAAGCAACGGATTATGATTATATTTTTTTAAGAAATTAGCTCAATCTATTGAAAAGGCTTGAGACTTTCAAACTGTTTACGATTTAGTTCCCCGATTCTTCGTAACTGCTTGAACATAAGGAAAATATGTGAGCACTACAGCTAGTCTTCCACAAGTAATCTTATTGATTTGGCACATAAACACTAATTTGTTCCTAGTGATCTCTTGTTTAGGTATTGGAAAATAACTGATGCAGCAATGCCTGTGAATGGGTTCAAATCAGATAAAGTTTATTAAGACGTGTGGGGGATCAGCTCCTAAATCGGACTGCCAAAGCCTTCTAAGATCTTATAGGTTTTATAGGCTCTGCATATCAAGATTGAGCTTTAACATCATTAGCTAATAGTAACTAATTACCTAATATTTATCCAGTCATTAACATTACATCAGAGTTCAGGGACATGCAGCTTAATTATCCAAGATAAGGCTGGAGGGTGTTGGTCCATCTGGTGGCTCTTGATGTCTGGCAGCGTCCTTAGCAATCATCCTCGGGACATATGACAATGACTTTGCAAATATTCCTAACAAAAGAAGTGTTTAGTAAGTTTGCATTTCATAGACTTGCACGGACTAGTTACATTAAATATTGTTTGATATAAGTGAAGCCAGTCCGAAATAGCTGAGAGTTCTGCAAAATGGGGGTGAGGGGTCCACAATGATCACCTTTTTATTCTGCTGTGCATTTTGTACTGAACCAACAATATGACTGTTTACAGGACAGGGTTGTATTCCTTCTAAGAAATGTTATTGATATACTGGTATATAATCGTGCCTGTGTAAATTGGTGACTCACATGGAAGTCAGAAGATGTTACATTGCATAAACAGAAACCTTCTCCTTTCCACTCCCCACTCTGAATTACAATCTTCAACAAATCAGCCTTTGAGGAGGATTTAACTGCAGAGAGGCTGGAATGTTGAGATCACTGCAAGTGACAATCTTTCTGGAAATGTAACATTAAGTGATATCTGCAAAAGGTTTTATGCAATCCCAACTGCTGTATATCTTCCACTCTAATACTACTATTCTTGCACTAACCAAGTTAAACTAGACCCAATGCTAGGTTGTTTACTTTAAGTATCCACACCTTGCTGTAATGAGCTTTATTGTGACATTGTCATTTTAAAGGAGAATTATGAGGCGAGTGACTTTCACTCAGCCTCATAATCTGAGCCGACCTGTGACAATGAAACTGTCACAGGTCGGCTCAATAGATCAGGAAGTGAGCGTACACACAGTCGCTCGCTCACTTCTCGATCTATCCCTGCAGAGAGCCGTGACTGTCACTCACGGCTCCCTGCAGGGATCCCCACCCCTCCCCTGTCCGATCCTTCAATGCTGACTGGTGAAACGGACACTGGTGGGGGCGGGCACAGCTTGCTCTGGATAGGCAGAGCCAGCTGTCAATCCCGCAGCTGGGTGGTTCCAGACAGTTTTGTCGGGATCCGTCCCCGCTAAGGCATCTCGGTATACCGCGAGCTACTGAGCTTTGGGTCACGGGAGGACGCTAGTTTGTGTTCTCCCGTGACCCTTAGGAGAACTATGGGTGAAAGCCCTGACACCATAGTTCTCCTTTTTAAAGGTCCCCCTGGGTTTTATAAGTGTTACTTGTGAATAGAGTTCAGTGCTCCAGCACTAAAACTATTTTATATAAAAATATGTTCCCTGATGTTTACTGACAAAAGATTTCCAACACAGGACTGCTAAAATATATTTAAACAGAGCTTGACAAATTGCTTTGAATCTAGGAGCCAGCTAAAAAAAAAATTGGGAGCCAGTAATTTTTTCAATTAGTTTTAATTGGCACATGTGGCGATACCTTAGGTTTAGCGAAATCGTTGTTTTCGTACAGAGGTGCATCTGACGTGTTTCTTCTGTTAGTATGTACATGTTTGCAGGGGTGGGGGTCTTTATTTTTATTTTTTCTGCATTTTTAATTTTATTTCACTTTGGTTTTTAAAGTTGTGGGTTTTTGTTTTTAAAACTTAATTGCGATCACATAGGGGGCTTATGACCCCCCCCCCCATGTGATAGCACACTGATCAAGATGACAGGTTCTCTTTTAAGGTGACAGGTGTCCCCTTTCCACTTCTTCAATAGGTTTAGCTGGGGAATGACTGCTGCCTGAATATAACACAGCAGGTAGTGACTGGGAGCAATAGCCAGCATGCTACTGGCTGTGTTAAATTGCAGTAGCCAAAAGCAGGCTGGCTGTTGCACCTCCCTGCTGTCAATCAACAGAGGAGTGACCTGAAGGAGAAAGTTCTCCTATTGCTGCCTGCGTGTGTGTGTGTGTGTGTGTGTGTGTGTGTGTGTTCGCACACAGCGAATGTAGTCACAGCGGCGGACAGCCGGTCTCACCTTACCATTGGGCACTGGCTCCAGCTGTCTGTCTCCCCTCCGATCCCCGCTGCCTCTGCTGACACAGGCCCGGAGAGCAGAAGAGTTAAGAGGACACACTGCAGCATGCAGTAGTCTCCCAATGGGGAGAACAGGAGGAGCGGTGCTGGAGGTGGCATGGGACATTAAACGGCCTGACAAAAGCCCAGGGGCCATGACGACCTGGGATTTGTCAAGCCCTGTTTTAACAACTCTTAAATCTGTTGTGAATAGCAACTACTTAGTTCTCCCATTCTTCCAATGGTCTACAGAAACATTCAGAGGGCAAATAAACCCCAAAAAGGGTTTGATATACACTTCTGAGTCAATTTACTGTTGTCTTTTGACATTTTAATATTTGATTTTACTTTTTTTTGTTTCTAGTGGTATGCAGAAAAAACCTGGATAGTACAACAGTAGCTATTCATGATGAGGAGATTTACTGCCGATCTTGCTATGGGAAAAAATATGGACCCAAAGGCTATGGCTACGGACAAGGAGCAGGCACCCTGAACATGGACAGAGGCGAAAGACTGGGCATTAAACCAGAAGAGTAAGCTCAATAGTTAATATTCATTCTTGCCCAAGTAAGAATTCACTGACCTGCTCAGACACAGCTATCCATTGTATAATGTGACACAGCTCTGTATTCACGTGTCCAGGAATTTCAGCCAACATTACACTGCAGCAAACTGGACTGATTCCAGAACTAGAAAACATTATGCAGATACAAACCATAAAAAAACAATCATTACATTATGTGGAAATGATAATGGGGGACATTCATATGACCTCATAGGAACACAATACTGCAGGCAAAATGCTATTGTATAATGCGTTCAAGAAAAATCAGGTTTGTAATGACCAAATCACTTGGGCCATTTTATTTTTGTTTTATTTCATTACCTAAATACATTGACTCAAGGTTTTATGTTTTCTGGGGGTAGGGAGAGGGATTAAATCTGTGTTAGGAGTGTTTAACCCTTTCGCTGCCAAGGACGTACGGCATACGGAGCTACAAAAGTGCTTCCAGCTGGCCAGCTCAGTATGCCGTACGGACCTGGCATTTACAGCTCTACTATAAGCTGATGGTTATCAGCTTATAGTAGAACTGTTCAGCAGACTGTCCCCTTTAAATTAATAGCTGTCATCAGTGGCTCACAAGCCGCTGATGACCGCTATTTTCAAAAATACCGGGCGCCCCCCGCCGGCACCGCCGCTGCCGGCCGCCGGCATCTGGAGTCTCTCATCCCTCCCTGGAGCCATCCCAGGGAGGGATGAGGGACTCCATGGATCCCCACTGCTTGTAGGGTCTGTGGCAGCGGGGATCCATTAAAAAATCACCGTCGGGGGGGTCGGGGGGGTCCCGGGAACGAGCGGCGGCTGGCCGCAATTCAGGATGGCTGAGCGTCTTCTGTTCTGAGCCGCTGTCATCCTGTCAGTTTTTGGATGACAGCGGCTCTGTGTAGCGTGGCCGAGCGGGGGATCGTTAAATATCAATGATATTTAACGATCCCTCTGTGCAGAGCAAACACCGGAGTGATCGTCTGATCACTCCGGTGTTTGTAAATAACTGGGGACACATAGTACTATGTGTCCCCAGTTATGAATGAACAGGCTGCGATCTACATCACAGCCTGTTCATTCAAGAATTTATGAATGGGGACTAGCACTCACTACAGAGGCTCCTCCCCATTCAGAAACTAATGATAGTAAAATATTTTTACTATCATTAGTTTGTGAATGAATGAGAAGCCTCTGTACTGAGGCTTCTCATTCATTGAGTGCTGGGGCTGCAGAAAAAGAAATTGAGGACTTATGTCCTCAATTTCTTTTTCTATTTCAAAAGGGAAATGTCAGGGGTCTATTTAGACCCCAGATATTTCGCCGCAGCCCCCCCAACAGTAAAAAAATAAAAATAAAAAATTATTAAAAAATAAATAGAAAATGTAAAAAAATAAAAAAGAAAAAAAATAAAAATGTAAAAAAAAAATAAAATAAAAAAATGTGTACAAAAAAAATAATAAAAAAAAGCACAACCCCTCCCTCCCCCCACATAACATACACATATTGAGGTGTACGCCATGCACATGCGCTGCAGTGCGTTGTTAGAACGCATCGCAGTGCATGATTTTTTTAATGTATTTTTTTCTTTAAAAAAAAATTAAATTAACTGTGGCAGCGCATGGCAAAGCTTTGTGACGCATTGCCATGCGTTGTGATCTTTGTGTTGCAATAAATATACGCCTGTATCATTTTATCACAACACAAACACCAACACAGCGTGACATTTTTTTTTAACATAAGTTGCTTATTTACAGTTTTGCGTACCGTAATTTTTTTACCTTTTCGCAAAAAGGCGCAATTTCAAATTTGCAAATATTTGTTATTTATTAACTCAATACAGTTTTATCTTTTAGATTTAGTCAGAAAATTATTATTTTTTGTGCGCTGATACTGATTTTAGTGTGTTTTATCAATTGAATTGTGTATTTTTATCGGTTTAATATTAATTTGAGAAACATTTGCGCAATTATCGCAGGGCCTACAAATTTAGTATCACCAGCTTTTTATTCTACCGGGCCTGCGCTTTCAGAAAATATATGGTTTGGGGGGTCTTTTACAAACGCTAGTAACGCAGCAGTTGAAAATCAAATCAATGGGAAAAGTTGGCGGCATCTGGAGCCTCTCATCCCTGCCTGGAGCCGCTCCAGGCAGGGATCTGTGACTCCATGGATCCCCGCTGCTGACCCCCGCTTGTAGGGGCTGTGGCAACGGGGATAAAAAAAAATCTCCAGGGTTGGGGGGTGGGGCGCGGAGCAGCAAGCGTCGGCTGGCGGGGAGAAGCCACAAGTTTCAGGATGGCTGAGCGGTGAGGAGAACGGAGCCGCTGTCATCATGTCAGTTTCCGGATGACAGCGGCTCTGTGCGTGGCCGTACGGAGGATCGATAAGTATCATTGATATTTACCGATCCTCTGTGCAGCACAAACACCGGAGTGATCGCGTGATCACTCCGGTGTTTGTAAATAACTGGGGACACATAGGGGGTTATTCACAAAGCTGCCGAAGGCAGCCGTGTGAATAACCAACACGAAGTGAAGTGAGCCGAACGCCGTTCGGCTATTCACTTCAGGCTTGTACAGCTGATTTCAGCCGTACACCGACTGAAATCAGCCGTACAACGGCTTGCTGCGGCTGGGTTTGGGTCGGCCGAAGTGCAGAAGGAGTTTGACTCAGCTAATCCAACATCTGGATCGGCTTAGCCGAACCTCCGGCAGGCTACTCGTTGCTGTTCGGCCTATTCTCATAGGGCCCAAACAGCAGTGAGTGAATAGCCGAATGCCGGAGAGCGCCCTTCGGCTCAGTTATTCTATTCTGCTCGGTACCTCTGTGGTACCGAGCAGAATAGAAAAAGTAGAGAAAAATGAGAAAATGATTGGGCGGAGCTAGCAGTGACAGCTAGCTCCGCCAAACTTTTTCTATTGCACGGGACCAGTTGTCATTAAAATGAGAGCTTGTCGGAACCGGCGGTCATATCAAAGCCGGCTCCGACAAGCTCTCATGACAGTCCAGGGTGCCTGGTTACTAGGTAACCAGGAGATGCTGAACTGTCATTGCACACTGAGAACCTGGCGGAGCCGCTGGGATATAATGGCGGTTTCGCCAGGTTCTCGGTGTGTAATGGCAGTCCAGCGTCCCCTGGTTACTAGGTAACCAGGAGATGCTGAACTGTCATTGCACACTGAGAACCTGGCGGAGCCGCCGTGATATCACAGCGGCTCCGCCGGGTTCTCAGTGTAATGACACATCAGCGTCCGTGGTTAGCTGCTAACCAGGGGACGCTGATCTGTCTCTGCATGCAAGTGGCCGGAGCCAACCGTGAGATGATGGCTGGCTCCGCCAAGCTGTCAGTAGCAGGTTGTCGGCCAGCCGTTCCAGCTTCGGCTTTCACCTCGGCTCAGTTGAGCCGAAGCATATGCCTTCGGCTCGACTGAGCCGCTCGGCCAACTTCGGGAGCTGTACGGGCTCAAGTGAATAGCCCGTACAGCAGCCCTTCAGTTCTACTCAACCGAAGGGGTCCTGGGGCCGAAGCTAGCCGAAGGATCAGCCGAAGCTATGGCTAGATCCTTCGGCAGCTTTGTGAATAACACCCATAGTACTATGTGTCCTCAGTTATGAATGAACAGGCTGTGATTTACATCACAGCCTGTTCATTCATGAATTTCTGAATGGGGAGTAGCACTCCCTATGGAGGCTTCTCCCCATTCATAAACTGCTTGATAGTAAATATTTTACTATCAGCAGTTTCTGAATGGAATGGGAAGCCTCTGTACTGAGTGCTTCCCATTCATTGAGTGCTGAGGCTGCAGAAAAATAAATTGAGGATTTGGTGTCCTCAATTTCTTTTTCTATTTCAAAAGGGAAATGTCAGGGGTCTGTTTAGACCCCAGAGATTTCACCGTAGCCCCCCCAACAGTAAAAAAAATAAATACAAAATTATTAAAAAATAAATAAAAAATGTTAAAAAAATTAAAAAAAAAAAATGTAAAACAAAATAAAATTATTTAAAAAAATAAAAAATGTGTAAAAAAAAACAAACTAATAAAAAAAAGCACAACCCCTCCCTCCCCCCACATAACACACACATATTGTGGTGCACACCATGCACATGCGCTGCAGTGCGTTGTTAGAACGCATCGCAGTGCATGATCTTTTTTATTTATTTTTTTTCTTTAAAAAAAAACATTAAATTAACTGTGGCAGCGCATGGCAAAGCTTTGTGACTCATTGCCATGCGTTGTGATACCTTGTGTTGCAATTAAATATACACCTGTATCATTTTATCACAACACAAACACCAAAACAATTTTTTACATAAGTCGATTATTTACAGTTTTGCATACCTTCATTTTTTTACCTTTTCGCAAAAAGGCGCAATTACAAATTTGCTAATATTTGTTATTTATTAACTCAATACAGTTTTATCTTTTAGATTTAGTCAAAAAATATTTTTTTTTGTGCACGGATACTGATTTTGGTGTGTTTTAACAATTGAATTGTGTATTTTTATCGGTTTAAAATTAATTTGAGAAACATTTGCGCAATTATCGCAGGGCCTACAAATTTAGTATCACCATCTTTTTATTCTACCGGGCCTGCGCTTTCAGAAAATATATGGTTTGGGGGGTCTTTTACAAACGCTAGCAACGCAGCAGTTGAAAATCAAATCGATAGGAAAAAATTGCAGAAAATTCAAAAATGGCTTGGCCAGCTGATTTGAAAAATGTTCCGGAGGGCTTGGCAGCGAAAGGGTTAAGTTCTTATCAATGGGGTGAATTGATGTGTTAGATTGCCCAGTTTGCTTTTGGGTTATATACCCATGCACTGGAGTGTAACAGTGGCCTGTTTTGTCATCTGAGACACAGAAACTCAATCAGGGTTATTCACAAAAGGGTGAAGAGTTTGGAGAAGGCAGGAGAAGTGAACAATCTACAACAACATATCTGATTGGGAACAATTCTCCAATTCAGCTCACTTTCCAGTTCAGCTATGTTGTCCTAGATTGTTCACTTCTCCTGCCTTCACAAACTCTTCACTCTTTTGTGAAAAACCCCCATTTGTCCACTAACCTTTTCCTCTGTCTTCCTGTCAATGGGACATTTTCAAGGTTAACCAGATGATGTGCCCATACAGTTTCAAGGTACCTTCCGACACTTACCTGATTCGATTTGGTTGTCGGTGCCAAATCAGTGCCTACACTACTCCACTATCCATTCAATTCATAAACAGTCTGGTAGGCACTTGAACTTGATAAGTTAGGTATACAGGGTTGGAATACTGAACGCAATCTGTTTTGGAACCTTTGTTTGAACTTTCAAATTGATGCGTTCAAATCTATCTATTTCGACTGCAGTGATTTAAAAAAAAAATGAAAGGAGCATGTTAGAGTTTTTGGTTTGGGCGAGAATTTTTCTAATGGTGAATAGTTTTCATTCTGAAAACTCCATTCATTCCAACAATTCAAACAACAATTGCCAAATCTCTCATGGTAATTAGTGAATATTCTGATGGGATTTTTAATACGAACGTTCATGTGGAAATCTACCTGTGTATACCCTATTTATTCATCTAAAGGAGATGATTGGATGTCATTACCAGGAACATGGGAGATAGATACATTTCATGCCCCTGAAATTTCATCCATTTGTGGATGTTTAAATCTACTTGTAGAGGGTCAGTTTAAAGACCGTTCTATAAATGAGTTGTTAATATAACTATTGACCGATAAAGCATAAACCTCGGGGCTGGAATGTGTTTTAGGCTAATGTCTCTAATTTGTGCGCAGCATGAGTTACTGATTTGGTATCTTGTCTAAAATCTTATGAAATGGCCGTGTTATGCCGTTTGTTTTAAATAGGGATGTCCCGATACCACTTTTTTAGGACCAAGTACTGTCCCTCATGTACTTGCCAATACAATTACCGATACTTTTTCATAAAGGGACATGCAACATTTTTTTCTAAAACACAGACTGATGATTTTAGGGCAGTTTCTCACCAGGGCTAAATACACGTGTCCCCACAGCAGAATACATGCTCCTAAGGCACAATTGTATTCTGCCTTGGGGGAACGTGATCTGCAAATGCATGTCTTTCAAAGCAGAATTCCTCTCAAGGCTGCGTGTCGCTTACCCATGGGGCATGTACATTTGCAGTGGCTCTGCGGGCACTCCATCTCGCCAGCGATCCTGGGACCTGGCCTCCTCCAGACAGTCTCCATCGGCCATCCAGCCAACTATCTGCGCTGCTGGGCCCCCCCCCCCCCCCCCCACTGCATGTCACATTTTGTACGGTCAGGAAACAGTACGAAAACGCAAAACGCATCAAAAACGCGTCAAAAATGCAGTGCACTGTAGCTAACATACTGACAGCCCCACTCCAGCAAAAAAAAAATATATATTTTTTTTTTTACTGGAACGCATCAAAAACACGGCAAAACACATAGCACCGCATCTGCTGATCCGCACCTGATCAGGACCTGAAACTCATGTGAACAGGCCCTCAGGGTGGCTCCTTTCCCTTGCAGGTGCGTATGGAGCCACCCTTGTGTGTGCTAGTAAGCTGTATGTGTCTCCACAAACACACAGACACAGCAAGGCAAGACATTTCCCTGCTCCTCACTCCTCCTTCCCCCGGTAACCCTTCTCCATGCTAGTAGTTGGGCAACTGCTAGAGACGCTCTGCTCCTTGTGATGTTATACTGGACAGGAAGTTCAGGGAAGCGGAGCTGAGAGTTGTAGCTGTTCGGAAACATGATGACTGTAAGTGCTTGGGCAAAAATTTTAAGGAATACATTGTTAGGTGATGTATATTGGTTTTAGGGATGTCCCGATAACACTTTTTAAAGACCAAGTACAAGTACTTTCCCTCAGGTACTTGCTGTTACCAATTACCAATACTTTGTCTTAAAGGGACATGTAAAACAATTTCTAAAACAACACAGATTGATGATTTTAGAGCAGTTTCTCACCAGGGCTAAATACAGATGTCGCCAGAACTGAATATATGTCCCCAAAGCAGAGCACATGTCCCCACAGCAGAATACATGTCCCGAAAGCCGAACACATGTCCCCAAAGCAGAATTCATCTCACCAGGCTGCGTGTCGATCTCACCCGGGCGACATGTGGACATCTGCAGTGGCTCTGCGGGCACTCCACCTCACCAGCGATGCTGGGACCCGGGCCTCCTCCACATGCAGACCGACAATGCTGGTCCCTGGCCTCCTCCACCGGCAGACTGTCTCCGTCGGCCATCCGACCGACCATCTCCGCTGCTGGGTCCCCCCAACCTCCATTCATCTCCTGGCCCAGGCCTCCCCTGTCAGTGGGTGGCAGGAACACCCAGCTTCTAGCCCTGGGGCTGCCGCTCCAGCTTCACCACCAGTAGTTCTGCCCCCAGGGCTGTCTATGGCTGTGCCTGCAGCGGAAGGAGGAGGAGATAAAGAACTGGACAGGCACTGCCATGGACAGCTATCTGCATGTCCACAGTAGGCTGCCAAGGTCCCCACAAGCACGGGAACTCGGATGACTGCTGTTGTTTAATGGGCCGGTATTGGCCTTTAAGAATCAGGGCATTTTCATGAGTAAAAGTACTTGTGAAAATGCCTGGTATTGGCCCTGATGCCTATACTAGTATCGTTATCGGGACATCACTACTTTTAAACTCTCCTCTATCCAATAGGTCTATACTAGAAAGTTAGGGGTGCATTTGCAGCTTTGTGTGCATACCTTTTTCATAAAGCTGCATTTGCTGGAAAGGTGACAATTGCAACTAGCAGGATTTAATTCACTAAATAAAAAATATTTAGGCTTGAACTGTGCCTTGTATATGATGAAAATGTCAATCTGCTGACAGTTGTAAATTATGGGTTGGTAATGAAAAATTACCCATATTGTGGCATTTGTTTCTCCAAAATGTATCTGCAAAAACAAAGCAGCCTTCTTGTTCCATTACAGAGCACAACAAACACGTCCAAGTACCAGTTCAAACCCGTCAAAGTTTGCTCAGAAGTTTGGAGGAGCTGAAAAGTGTCCGAGATGTGGTGAATCAGTCTATGCTGCTGAGAAAATAATGGGAGCTGGGAAGGTGAGATTAAACTGCAGAGTTTCTGATGACTGTATGCTCCGCTTGTAAAATGAATGTTGTTAAAGAGATTACAATGTAGGTTTGTATAGTATTTACAATGCCTTAGCAAAAATCTGTAGTGCTATATCAAATTATGCCTCAAACGGGAGATATCCTCGGCACACAATACCAAAAAAAAAATTCAATGTATACAAATTATGCAAAGTCAACCAGGAGACTTTTAAATCCTTTGAACCAATATTCCAAAATATTCCTTGGATATATATCTATATCCAAGGAATATTTTGGAATATTGGTTCAAAGCATGGAAGTCTCCTGGTTGATTTTCGCATAATTTGCAGTGCTGCATATTTTTTGCACTTGGTTCAAGACGGAATGTATTAATGGTCTCTTTTTCTGCAGCCATGGCACAAGAATTGCTTCAGATGTGCCAAGTGTGGCAAGAGTCTGGAATCCACCACTCTGACCGAAAAAGATGGGGAAATATACTGCAAAGGTAAGGAACTCCGACTACTGGCTGGTGTATCCCAGAATGTTTCCTTGATGGAATGTGGCCTTTAAATAGAAAGCAAGGCGGCTGGAAAATACAGGAAATTGGAAAATAACAAGGTAAAGACAGGCCAGGGCCAATATCAGGAAATGTCTTTCCAGAGAATATAGTAGCTGTAATGTATTTATATGAAGACAATAAATACATGTTCTAGTGAAGGAGATCTTGTCAAGGTACATTTATGTCTTTTGGGACATTAAAGTAATACAATGCAGTGTATAAAATCTATTCCAGTTTAAGGTAAATGTAATAAATCTTGTGCTTTTACACTTCAGCTTCCTGAAAAGTAGCTTCCCGTTGTAGTTACAACATGAAGCTATTAAAACACAGCAGGAGATTTCCAGACAGAGGAAAACCAGAAATAGAAAAAGAAAAGTAACTTCCTTGGAAAGATGTGAAATATACACAACACGCACCAAGCATAGTAAAGAAATTCATCAAATTTAAAAAAAAAGATTGTTTATTGTTTGACTATCAGAATACAATTTTTTTTTTTTCTTTTTATAATTACTAAATCCTTTAATATAGACAACTTGTACATTTTAAAGCTAATTACACAAGTAACTGTACTAAGCTCAGCAGAGACCAAACCCTCTGCATCTTGACATTGGTCGTCTTTATCTTAAAGGAGAACTATGGGGTTAGGGCTTTTCCCCATAGCTCTCCTTAGAGTAACGGGAGGACACAAACTAGCGTCCTCCCGTTACCCTAAGCTCAGTATACCGCGAGCTACAGCTCACAGTATACTGAGACGCCGCAGCCGATCCCGACATCGATGTCGAGATCCGCACAATTTGTGAAAGTCACTGATTTATTAAAGCCGATATGGTCAGCATTACCTATAGCATCCCAAGACTATACTACAAAATAGTCTGAGAACCTATTTATCTGTCTTGCTTAAAACAAGAACACTACTGCCTCATAGCATTTCATTCATCAACTGGGATTTGATTGGTTGTTAGAGGTTATTGTAGAAGAGTGATGGTGGAAAGAGACCAATTGAGTCTGCCTTCCTTTTTTTTTCTTCTACATTTATTTTGTTAACATTTTTTTGCGAAGTATATTTAAATTAATTTACTGCTGTTTCACCTGCTACCTCCAAGTCTGTTCAAACCATCTGTGATTCTATTGAGCATAATCCTACCCGACAATGCAGTACTGAATGGTCCTGGAGTGAATGGTGGGACAAATATAAAACCTGTAACGAGTGCTGTATTATTTTGGCTAGAAGTGTGAATTATTTGAATGAAATATTTATTCATAGAAATGGTTTTTTTTTTTTTTTTTTTTTTCTGCTAGCTTGCTACGCTAAGAATTTTGGACCTAAAGGGTTTGGCTATGGCCAGGGAGCTGGTGCCCTTGTACATGCACAGTGAGGAGGAAAAGGCAAAGACTGATGATGCTAGAATATTTGACGACACCTCTGTTACTAAGCCGAGTGATAGTCTTAAGCCAATACTAATCACTGTGAAGTCCGTGTGATGTCTACTCTGTAGAATGGAGTTGGATTAATGTTCTTTGTATGTTTTTATTGTAACATTTTCTGACCGGAGGAATATCTGACTTATAGTAACTGTCTTGTATTTTCTTTCAAATAGAACCAGATCTATACTTACAGAGAACTTGTTTTCTATTAAATAACTGTATATTGCAGACCAAATGAGGTTGGATTATATGTTCTGGAATTGAAAGGCTCAGCACAATAAAACATAGTTGTAACTTCAATATTGTACTAAATTGTCAGATGTATACTGGAAGAATGTGTGGTGGGTTTTTTGCCCCTCTATGGAAGCTTGAATTGCTGTGACCATGTGGAATCTAGCTGTGTGGTGACCATGCCAGTTGAAGGACATGTACAAGCATTGGTGGCACAAATGGCTTCAGGTGTTGGAAATTATTATATTTCCAGCTGTTGGACCTAATAGCCCTGTCCATCTTAATCTGAAACTCAATGTACATTTGCACCTCCATATAAAAAGCATGAATGCACACCCACTCTAATTCCACTTTGTAAAATCCTACACTGTCCATGAAATACTTAAGCTGTTCTGTCTGAGGGAAATACTAAATTATTCAATCTCGTGGAGTACTGACCTCCATTGTGTGTCATCACCATCATGCATTGTGTGTCATCACCATCATGCTCTGGTTGATTGACCTCCCAAACATTGTGTAGCATTGCTGTTTTCATTACAATGTTCATTATATAATGGGAGAGAAGGAACAGGAACCTATACTGAAAGAAATACAGCCAATAGAAAGCTGACTTGGAGACTGTAAAGGGCTTGCCCACACAATGTCCAGACCAGAACAGTTTTTTTTTTTCCTGGACCAAAAAAGCATCCCAATGTATTCCTATGGTATTTCTGTGCTCTGTTCACACCAGCGCAGTTTGTTCCGGTCCAGACAAAAAAAAAATACTGCTGGTCTCATTTTCTCTGGTCTGGAATGCATAGACATGCATCAAAAAGCATGCAAACACACTGGACTGCACATGAAAGCCCATTTAAAAAAAAATATTTAAAAAAAAAAAAAGCAACAAATGCACTGCGTTCACATATTTGCTCCATACCTGGTCCTGACACGGTGTGAACAAGCCCTAACTCTAAAAACATTAATATACTGCGTGTGTGTGTGAACAAAAATATTTTCAGACAGCAAGTGAAGCAGCTCACTGTTGGCATACAGTTGCTCGTCGCATCTGGGATCCATGGGTTAACAAATATACCCTTAATTATCTAAAGGATGTAAAGAATTTGTATTGCCTCAAACTGTTTTTTTTCCTTCTGCAGTTTCTCAAGGGGAAAGAATTTTTAACCAATGGATCCCAAGGGCCTGTTCACATGAGTTTCAGGTGCGGAACTGTGTTTTTGCCACATTTTTTTGATGCGTTCCAGTTTTTTTTTTAAATGTTGTTTTTTTTTTTTTTAGCTGCAGTGCGTTTTTGACCATACAAAATGTGACATGCAGTATTTTTCTGTCGTAACCTGAACGGACTGCGCACGTGAGAACTGTAGCCCATAAAACACATGGGGATACATTGGGATGCATTTTTAGTGCAGGAGCCTACGGATCAGGTCAGCACAGAAAACGGACATCGTGTGAACAGGCCTTTAAGGTACTAAAAGATCTGAGAAGGAAGGGGCTTGCAGCATATTTGACTACAACATTTTGCGGAGTCTCTTACCTGGAACAAGCATGCATATTCGAGAGTCAGATATCCTGATCTGCATATTTGTTTCAGGTCTGTGCCTTTAACGTATCAGTTTGTCAAGCCACAAACTGTTTCATTCATTGGAGAACAATTCTGTGCTTTAGGTAATCACGGACTGGGTTTATGCATCCTACAGGAGTACAACACTAGGTGCACTAAAAGAAACAAGACTGCCCAGGTGTGTGGCCAGAACACTCTGCACAGCTGGGGACAACTAGTTTACTAGCCTAGTATCTAGGAGTTAGGCTTTTCACCTGAACAAGAACATTGTGCTTCCATAGCTGTGTCCCAAACCAGTCCACCCTAAAGCTGGCCATACACCTATAGATTATCTGCAGATTTTCTATGGTCAGATGGACAAAGTGCAACAGATTCCTCCATCTACGCTACACTGTGTAGAAGGAGGAATCTCCCACTGGGCCAGGCTTCAGTATCTTGCTAGTTGGCCCCACTGGCTGTTCAGTTATTAAATACAGATACTGAAGTTTGGCCCAGTGGGAGATTCCCCCACCACAGTTGAGCGTAGAATCCGTTGAACTTTTCTGCCTGTATGGATTTTTGGCCAGCTTGAGAAAGTGTCATTACAATCCTTGGATGTGGTCAGGATTAGAGGGGTACCTGTCTGCCACTGCATTTCATGAATGAATGTCCTATCTGAGGTTTGTACAGAACCATGCTGGATCTGGCAAACCGTTATCAAAGAATATATCATCAAGCACAAAGAACCACCATTTCCAGTTGCAGCACACTCTGTTGTGGGGTAGGTGCATCCTGAACTTTGCACCATCAGACCTCAATTTGGCAGGTTTGTAAGGCAGCCACTTGGTTTGTCAGGTCCAAATTTTACAAGGAGGATGTGGCCGCATCAAATTCCAATTTTGGTTGTAAAGTTTTTTTTCAGAAGGCAGTTTGACTGGCTTTATAATTCATGTACAAGGCAATAAGCCAGTCAATCAGTTTACTGGAATGGAAACTTGCTGTGTGAATGAATTACAAAAAAAACTGACCATGTAAGGAGTGTGGACAGAAGGACCTCAACTTGTACTAAAGCATTGTGTACAGCAAGCTTTTAGCAGCTTTGGAGAAACTTTAGTAGCACTTGTGATGCGATTTACTAGCTGCTCCCAAGACTGCATTCCTATTAAGATCTGTGTTTAAAGCTCTCCTTTGGGTCCAAACCCCCATGACCACAATACCTACCCGGTAACAGAAGGACTTAAGAAATACCCCTACTATGAAAGAAATGGAACATGAAATGTCTAAATAAAAAAAAAAAAAAATTAAAACTTTAAAAACATGTGCAGCCTGAATGCAAAAAAAATAACATGTTCGAACTATAAAAAAAATGTGCAAGTCTAGTGACACTGCATGCACATTCATTCTGTGTGATTTAACCAGCTGGTGTGAGGCTGGAGCAAAATCAAATGTTCATACGGTATTGCCTCTTGTTTGTTCTTAGCTATTTATGCTCACAATGCACGCCCCCTCAGAGGTTCACTCAGTTTCAACACAAGCTTAAAATAACATGCAACACAAAAAGCAACTATTCAGCAGTGATCACTTCTCTGTATTTTCCTTTCCTCCAATAAAAACAATGTAACATTACCCAAGTCTACTGATCTACCACTCCAAAGCAAGTTTGTCACACTAAGAGCAAAACCACAAGATGACATGCAATGTAATGGCCAAATAAGAAATATAAGCATATTACCGATTTACACCCTACGGTTTTCTAGAACTTCAAACTGCACTTGTAGGCCAGGGTCCCGCTTTACATTGAATGTAGAGTGAGACCCTGGTCTATGTTTTATGAACTGAATCAGTTTATATAACATAGGCCAGGGTCCTGATCCATTGTCTTTTCATGTCATATAATTTTGACCAAGGTCCCATTCCAGTTCATATGTAATGTTCTGCAGGTATCTCTCTCCTCCAAGGACAGAGACCTCATGTACAGTCAGTACACAGCCAGACTGATGAACTGTGGTGCAGAGAATAAAGTATGTGACGTACCGTTTGCAGTGTATGCCAATTGTTCCGTCCTCCACCACCAACTGTATACCTCGGTCACGCCTTCACTGGCTGATATAGGTTGGCTATACACTGGGAGTATTTTTTTTTTTTTTCTTTTTCCGTTTAGACCCGTGGGGTTTTGTGAGGGGAGAAATGTATTCCCCCCACAAATGCTTAACAGTCCGGATAGAGGAATCTCCACTGCCAGCTATTGTATTCTGACAGACAGCATCCACAGTTGTCGGAATAACTTAGTGACATTAAACCCTCAGATTTTTTAACATAAACCAATACTGTAATGTGTGCCTTACTGTAATCCATGGTTGTTTCCCTTCTCTTTGCTGCTCTTCCTTTTAAATCTGTATCTCTTATGCTGGGCAGAACTTCTGTTTTGCAGCAGACTGCCTTGTCTCAGGAATGGATACACGGTGTCTGTGTATCCGTTTGTATAGGCTTGTAATCTGAGCCAGCACTACAGGAAGAGGCCCTGAGCTGAAAAGGGAAGTTCTGTCCAGCATGAGAATTTAAAAGGAAGAGCAGCAAAGAGAAGGGAAACCATGGATTACAGTAAGGCACACATTACAGTATTGTTTTATGTTAAAAATCTGAGGGTTTAATGTCACTAACAGTGACCAACTGATTGAGGTCAGTTGCTGTTTAGCCAAACATTATTGAACCGGCTTCTTTGACAAACGTTGATTAATAGCTTTTTGTTGAATGGAAGTGTGCCGATTGATCGGATTACAACAAGTTAACAGGACTCGGCCAACGTTCAAGCAGTGTATAGCCAGCTTTACACTGTTTTATGAGAGGAAATGATGTAGTGAAATAAGTGCTGAGAAGTGATCACTCCTGACTACTTGCTTTTGTGTTATTTTAAGTTGCTTTTGTTGAGGTGGTGTAACTGAGCAATCGTCACAGGTGATGTGCGCTGCAAAATTCTTGCTATATTTTGAGCCTAAACAATTGCTACGAACAAACGAGAAAATGCCTTTAAAATATTCAGTATTGCTCCATACACAAAACAAATGTACATGCAGCTTCACTGGTCGAACAGCTATGCAATTGTTCTTATAAAAACAGACCCCTTGGTGTAGAAAATCTGTCAATCTATAAACAAACACTAAAACAGAATTGTCAATATTTATTTGATTAATAACTTACAAAAATGATGAAATTAACTTATGTAAGGAGAGCTAAATTATGAAATGTACAATTTCTGGTGCTCACAATGTAGTACATCAAGACAGACAGTAGTAAAATAATACTTGGCACAGTTAAATAAATACAAAATGAAATATACATACAATTCAATAGCAAAAAAAAAAAATGTATTGCAGTATTGTTGTGGACTCGCCAAAAAAAAGCATTAAGAGGAATAAACAAGGACACGCAGTTACCTAAATTAGGTTTCACTATACAACATTTTTTTGTGTGTTTTTTTAAAATTTCCAGATATGATTTTTTTTTATTCCCCACAGATACCACTGGCC